ACAGCTGGAGAGAGCCCAGGAAGACTTGAGTTCAAATTTGCCATAGCACTCTCAAAAGACCATTATCGACCTATGCTGAAGCCACTGACCACATATGAGCTTGAAGTTTATCCCTCTCTAGCTGAACTTCCAACTGAAGAAGAGGTTTTGAATGCCATTAGGCTCCTTTTGTGTGGCAAAGCACCTGGTGCTGACTGTATTCCAGCTGAGATTTGCAAGGCGGGAGGGGTAGAAGGTCAGGGCTGTCCACTGCTCATACAAAAACTGACTGATATCTTCTGGGTGATAGGGCAAAAGGAGGTTATTTTACAGGAGTTCAAGGATGACTCCATTGTGCATCTCTATAAAGAAAAGGGAAACAGGTTGGTCCATGACAATCCACTCTCTCTTAGTCATTGCAGGCAAGATCCTTGCCAGAATCCTCCTAAACAGACTGATCCTTCACCTGGAAGATGGTCATCTACCTGAGACCCAGTAAGGTTTCAGAAAGGGCCAATGAATTGTCAAAACAGTGTTTGCTGCCCAACAACTCCAGGAGAAATGCTGGGAGCAGAACAGAGGTCTATACACAGTGTTTGTTGATCTGACCAAGACCTTTGATACCGTCAGGAAGATCATAGCAAAATCTGGTTGCCTGGAGAAGTTCGTCAGTATTGTATACAAGTTTCACGACTGCATGCTTGCATAGGTTCTAGATCAGAGTGGGGAACTTGTGGCCTCAGGATTTGACTAAATCCAAACTTCTCAGAACAAAGGTTTGGATTCAGTCAGAGGGCTGCACTTGAGGACCTGGAGGGCCACATGTGTCCTCGAGGCTGCAGGTTCTGCACCCCTGTTCTAGATAATAGACAATGCTCTCGAACTTTCCCAGTCACCAATGGACTGAAGCAAAGCTGTGTGCTTGGTCCCATGCTTTTTAGCATGATGTTTTCAGTTATGTTGTCAGATGCCTTCAATGAGGACAAAAATAGCATCAAGGTAAACTCCCAAATTGATGGTAAATTATTTAACTTGAAAGGCTACAAGCCAAGACTAAAGTGGAAGAAGAGTTGGTAAGGGACTTTTTGTTTGCATCTGATTGTGCACTCAATGCAGCCTCTGAGACTGAGATGCAACAAAGTATGGATTGATTCTCTGTCGCTTGTACTAATTTTGGCCTAATGCTAAATTGCTTCCATTTGAATTGTCTTAGGAAGATTCCGAAGATCACCTAGTAAGGTACCAGACACTGAGGTCCTTTCTCAAGCTAAACTGCCAAGCATTTAAACCCTACTACCAAGAGCACAACTCTGATGAGTTGGCCACATTATTTGAATCCATTTAAGTGCATGCTATCTGTATAAGTGCATGCTATCTGCCAGGTTGTTGTGAGGGCCAAAACAGAAGTTTTGAAATTTTGAAAAATAAACTTTAAAGCACATCATCATCATCATCATCATCATCATCATCATCATCATTTTTACTCCATCTCTCTTTTGCATCTTCAATCTAACCCTGGCTCCTCCTCTTTTGCCTAGGATTTTCATAATCTACAATAACCCATAATTCTTCTATCCTAAAAAAAAAAAGGCAACATCATCATCACCAAAAAATCTCCCATTGTTACTATTCTATAGTGGTTCTCTCCTCTTCCTAACCAACTGCTCAATTTTCAACTCCTTACAGTCTACTTCTTCTCATTCTAATTACACTGTTATCCTGAAGATGAGCAATGAACCCATAAGCACTAATTCCATCCCTCCTTTCCCTCCCCCCGCTCCCACCAATCCTCATCTTTCCTGCATCTTTGTATTTGCATTAATGTTACATTTGCTGATCACTCCTTCCTTCCTGAAACTCTTCTCTCCCTTGGCCCTTTCCTGACCACATGCCTGCCTCCTTGACCATTCCTTTCGTGGAGTTTTTTTATCACCCCTTCCCCTACTTGCACAGTAATGGTTCTCCAAACCTGTCTCTGGGCAAGTCCATTCACTCCATCATCAGCTGTCACTCAGTACAAATGCCTGCCTCCCAAGTCTGGTTCTATCATTCTGGAACACTAGATCCTCATTTCCAACTGGTGGTGAAAATACCACCTTCTGGAGACATCCTATTGCCATTTCAAACTCAATGAATCCTAAAACAAAAACATCAACTTGTAAAAACCTGCTTTTTCCTGTCTTATCTGTATAATGCAATTACCATTATTTTAGTTACCTAGGTTTGACCTAGATAATATGAGAGTAAAGCCACACATATTAAGTACACTAATTTGTATTTTCTGTATGTGTACAAACTTCGGTATCAATTCTGTATTTTTGTATGTGTAATCTACAAAAAAAGAAGTTTCTATTCTCATGATCCTGAAAACTAAAAACAAAACCTGGGGGTCATCTTTGACTCCTCCCTCTCCTGCTTCCAACATTTAATTTGTTGTCAAACCTTGATTAATCTATTTGGATATCTCTTAGATCTGTCTTCTCCTTTCCAACCCTACTGAAACTACTATACTGTAAACTACTATCACTTGGATTGTTGTAATAAATAGCTTGTTAACTAGTTTGCCCTTCTCTGCTTTCCCTTCTTCTAATCCACATAACACAGCTACCAAAATAATATTCCTAAAGCACAGCCATCACTGCAGTCACCTATTAAAAAACCTTCCATTGTTCCCCATTATTTTTGAAAAGAAGTCTAAACTCCATGGTATTTAAGTTAATGGGCCCTCACCTATCTTTCTGGACTCACTTGGTTCATTCTGTCCATCTACAAATTTGATGAGCATACCATTTATGTATTTATTCAAATCACTCATAGAAACATTAAACAGCAATGAACCAAGCACAGATCCCTGGGGCTTTCCACTGAAGAGCTCTTCTCACAATGTCATTAAGCCATTAATAATGATCCTCTATGTCTGGCCATCCTACCTGATGTGAAAGCAATCTGACTGCATTATTGTTAATCCACCTCCCTATCACCTTCACAAGAATAGCATGAGATTCTTTATCAAAAGTGTCACTAAAATCTAGGCCAATTATGTTGACAGTATTCTACTCATATACTAGTTCAGAAATCCTGTCAAAAAAAGGAAATGAGGTTAGTTTGGCATGTCTTCTTTGTGATGAAGCCATGAGAGCTCTTTGTAATCACTGCTTTCATTTCCAAATGTTTGCCAGGTACCAGTAATGATGTGTTCAGAATTTTCCCAGGAAACTAAGTCAATTTCACTGGCCTCTATTTTGCAAACTCTCTCTCTCTCTATCTCTCTCTCTCTCATCACTGTCCTTCAATCTTGTAGTACCTCTCATTTTCTATGGTCTTTCAAATACTACTAACTACAGCCTAGCAATCCCAGCTGCCAGTTCTTTAAGGCCCCAAGGATGTATTTCACTGGAGCCAGGTGACCTGAATTCATCAAAGGCAGCCAGGTGCTCTCTTACTATCTCCTCAATTATGTTGGGTATGAAAACCCCTGTTAGTCATCTGTGTTTTGCCAAGGACAAAGGTCCTTCTCATTTGCAGAGAAAACAGAAACAAAATAAGAATTAAATAGCTCTACTGTCTTTCTGTTGTCATTTACCTTGGTCCAATATGCCCCAAGCTAGGGTCATACCCATCCTTTCCCCCACCCAAATAAAGGTTTAAAAACCCCTTTTTGTTGTCCTTAGCTTTATTAGTCTCTTTAAACAAATCCCATTTTTCCTCCTCATTACAATTTCCTACCCTATTTATTCAGAATTTTTTCTTATTTATTAAGAATTTCATTCTTGAGCATCTCTCATTCCTCCTGGGCTGCCTTCTCCTAAAACTATTAGTGCATGAGATTCTACTTATCTTTTCTCTGAAACCTTTGAAACATATTTTTCACCCTATTTTATGGTTTTCTTGATATTAAATAAATGGTAGAACTAAAACCTTTCTATTACATGCTTCGAGGAATCTTACATAATTTAATAGATGACTGGGAAGTACCTTGATGTAAGAGCACCTTTAAGGTGAAGGTTTGCCCTACTAATTCAAATGCTCTTTTTTAAGTCAACAAAGAATAAATACATGGTGGAACCTTATATTCTTTGTACACTTTATACCATCTAGAGAGAAAGATAAGATAATTTGTGGAGAGAGACTGAAATAACAACTGGAGGAAGGGGGTTCCAGGTAGGTTTTGAGCAAGAGGTGGTATCTGGTCTGAGCCTTGAAGAAAGTTGGGATCATAGAATCATAGCTTTCAAGACGTAAGGGAGCTTGGAGGCCACCTAACTCAATTCTCTCATTTTACAGATGAGGAGGTTATGTAACTTGTCCAAGGTCACAAAGGAAGTAAGAGAGAAAGGTAGGATTTGTACCCTGGCTCTGACCCCAAATCCTGAACATTTTCATCTGTACTCCAGGCCACATCAAGAAATCTAAAAGTAGGAGCTGACTGGGTGAGGGGCATTGCAGGAACAGGAAGCAAAAGGCAAACACAGTACCTCACAGAACTAAACAAATATTTTAGGCTAAATTGAAATAGGTAATGACTACCAACTTAAGCCTGATTAGCCTAAGTGAAGTACTCTTTTTTCTAGTGATTAATACATTCCATGACTTTTCATTTAGCCTCTTCTACTATATCCTATTACTTGGAATACTATAAATTTACAGTTACTAGAGTTACTTGAGTACCTAGCAGGTAAGTAATGTTGAATTATGTAGGGATAGGGATTAGGCCTGTGATTTCATTGGCATAGGGAACTCCCAGGTGAGGAAACTCCCTCTACCAACACACTTTAATGTTTTTCTGCTTCTATAATTACAGAGCTTCGTAGGGCACTGAAAGTTTTAAGTAACTTTCCTAGGGGTCACAAAGCCAGCACGGGTCAGTGTTGAAATTTGAACTTACATATTCCTGGCTTGGAGGCTGACTCTTTATTAAATATATAAAATAAATACAAAAACTTATGAAAAACAAAATAATAAAATTTGTCCACCTAATTCTTTACTATGTAAAATTTACAATTCGTAAAAAATATACTTACCTCATCATCTTCATCAGGGAGGGGTTCACGTAAAGCTGGCACCCAAGCAAGAATATTGCAATCTCTGCTACCACTATAAAGTTCCTATGATACAGAATGCAAAGATGTGACAGTGGAGAATGTTAAGACTTAGAATGAATCTGAAATTGACTAGTATTTCCCCATATTTTTAAAATGTAGAATTCTTAAGACAATAGTCCTACTATGACTGAAAAAGTTATGTTACTGACATTGAATTATATGCTTTTTCAAACTATCTTTTACTCCATTTATTTTTGTTAATATTACCAGATTCTGCAGAAAGGAGATTTTCCTTATCAAAAAAAAAAAAAAGGAAACAATAGCATAAATCTCAGATGAAAAGTATTTTCCCTTCTTCCTTGACTCAGGTATTAAAGGATACCCTTTGGATACTACAAGAGGCAAACATCAAATGACTACACATTAAATAGACTACTAGTATTTCTATCAGGGCAGAGAGGCAGCCCTGTAGATGGAGTGCTGGGCTCAGAGTCAGGAATACTTATTTCCCTGAGTTCAAATCAGCCACTTACTAGCTGTGTGTGACCCTGGGCAAGTCACTTCGCCCTGTCTGCTTTAGTTTCCTCATCTGTAAAATGAGCTGGAGAAGAAAATGGCAAACCACTCTAGCACCTCTGCCAAGAAAACCCCAAACGGGGTCACAAAGAGTCTGAAAGGATTGAAGAACAAAATTTATATCTGTACACTAGTCATATAGTAGTATGAGAGAAGTAGCATGTACTCAGCTGAAAGAACAGAAGACTACTTTTCCATTTAAACAGACTTTGCTGCATACTAGAAAAAAAAAGGGAAAAGATATGCAGTGGAGAAACAAAGCTGGGGCACTCCCTTCATAAGCAGGATTTACAACTTGTGTAGCATGTGTCCCTTGTGTCTGCCTTAAAGTTCAATGCTAATTTTTAAGTGTGAATATGAGAATATTGTTTTACAGGGGACAGTACAGAATTTTCAAGTGTGGATTTCAATTTAATTCTAAAAAGTAAAAGTTTATTAAGCACCTACTATATGCCAGACACAGTTCTAGGCACTGGATATACAAAGAGAAAAATGAAAGAGTCCCTGTGCTCAAGGATTTCATGTTCTAATGGGAAGAAACAACATGCACACAGATAAGTAAATACAAAACAGATAAACATACACACTTATACCAGGCCTGTGATTTCTTGGTATTAAAGTCCCAATGAGGAAACACCCTCTATTAATGTACATTAGCACCTGCTTTGCAACTTCAGAATTAGAGCATCTACTAGGGGAATGGAGAGGTCAAGGCGGTTGCTAAGGGTCACAAAAACAAAGCTGATCAGGGGTAAGAATCAAATCCAGCTGTTTCTGATCCAAGGGCCAGATATTTTTCCACTATGCCACGTGCCTCTTCAAAATATAAACAAAAAGTAATTTCTGGGGCATGGTGGAATAGAATGCTAAAAACTAGGGGGATAAAGAATATGTGTAGAATATGGACCTTGAACCAAGATTTGAAGGGAATTAGGGATTTCTTTTCTTTTTTTTGGAGGGGGGGTTAGGCAATGGGGTTAAGTGACTTGCCACACAGCTAATAAGTGTTATGTGTCTCAGGCCGAATTTTTTGAACTCAGGTCCTCCTGAATCCAGGGCCAGTGCTTTATCCACTTCGCCACCTAGCTGCCCCTAAGGGAATGAGGGATTTCAAGAAGCGGAGGTAAGAATGGGGACAGTTTATGCAAAGGAATGAAGTCAGGTTATGGAGTTAAGGTCCACAATTTAGCATGCACAGGTTATTAGATGTAGGTTAGGTTAGGTAGAGGACAGAGTGCATATGATATCAGTATGGAAAGATAGGTTAGAGCATGAAAAGTATTAGATACTGAACAAAGCTTACATTTTATCAGAGGCAGAAGGGAGCCCCCAAGGATTGCTGAGCAGAAAAATGACAAGAGCAAACTTGTTGCTTTAGGAACACCAGTTTGGCACTTGTATGGAAGATGGATTGGAGAGGAGGGGAATGTGGGGCTATAATTGGTAGCAAAGAAGAGGCAACTACAATAGACCAGGTGAGGGGACAAGAGCCTGAACAGGGTGGTAACTGTGTGAGTAGAGATGGGAAAAGAAGAGTAGAAGGAAGAGAGGGAAGGAAGAAGAGAAGAAGAAAAGAGGAAGGAAAGAAGAGAAGGAAGGAGGGAAGGAGAGAAGAGTGAAAGGGAAGAAGAGAAGGGAGGGGGATAGGGAGGGAAGGAGAGAAGAGAAGGGAAGGAAGAAGAGAGGAAGGAAGAAAAGAAGAGAGGTAAGAAGAGAGGAAAAGAGGAAGGAAATAAACATTTATTAAGCACCTACCAGGCCCTGTGCTATGTCTTTTACACATATTATCTTATTTGATCCTCACAAATGTGGCAGTTAGGTGCAATTATTAATACCATTTTACAGTGGAGAGAACTGAGGTAAACAGAGGTTAAGTGACTTGCCCAGGGACTGAGGCCACAATTGAACTCAGGTCTTCTGGACTCCAGGCCCAGCACTCTACCCTCTACATCATCAAGCTGTCTCTAAATGAATGCCTCCCTTTGTGTCTTATTATTAAAATTAGAAATATTAGTTTAAACAGTTAAATACTGCACTTATCCATACTGTCTTTCATTTGGGGAGCTCGAAACCCAGATTTGACATGGTTTCATCAGGCAGGTAGTGTAAAAGTCATTAAAACAAAAGGAAGAAACTAAACACATTAGTGCAAACAAAGTAGATAAGATTATAGTACCTATTAGTAATAAAGTCACTGGGACACGCTTACTTGAATGGCAGACAAATCTCAGAGGAAAACCAGTTACTATCATCATCAATTTATATTTGTTGAAGATGTATTCACATGCTCTATAAAAATCCTTATTTCTACTCTCAAGACCTTACAAAATAAGAGCACTCACTAAATATAAGACATATAACAAGAAGTAAAAGCCACATTCAGTGGACTAGAATGTTGACAGGTCTTTTTTACGGGGGCTGGAAAACAAAAATCACTCCCTTAAAATGCTTAAGGGGGGGGTAACCTCCAAGAATTCTCTAAAAAACAATCTCAAAAAGAAATATCTGTATTAGCATGTTTTCCTTTTACATATTTATAACTATATTCCTCTTCAGAAATTACAAAGGAATCTGTGGGGAAGAGATATTTTGCTAAGGAATAAAGCTAGGAAGTGAAGATATCTTAGTTACAATCTGCCCGGAAGGTGGGACAGTGTGGAGAAGGTAGTGTTTAAAATTCAAGAAGTTAGGAGATCAGGATAGATAGATATGACTTAAACACAAAAATAATCTAAACTGTCAGCAGGAAGTATATAAATACCACTACACCACAAAAACCGTATGTAGAGAAACTTAGTAAAACTGCTAGTGATACGTTGTGCTCCCACATGGCATATCAAGAGATACTGCAACCATATTTCATAGCTCTGCTGGAAGACAGAGTTTGGGGACATAGTTAATCCCTTGAGTGAGAATAAAATGTGAGAAAGGAAAAAGCCCATATAGAAAAACAATATATTGAGTCACTGGTTTTGAAAAAAAAATCAATGAAATAACCCTAAAGAAATATTTTTATTTTTATTTTTATTCATAATTATCTCATTCCCTCCCCCAAACACTACTTACAGGAAAATACCTTCTGTAAAACCCAATAACAGTAAGATTATTAATTGACAAATAAATGGAGTCCATACGCAGAGCAAAGTTAATTTTTTCCAATTAAGTCACACACTATTATCTTAGATTTATCTATGTCTCTAACTTAAGTCTGGTTTCCAATTGGAATTCTAGAGGAGCAAATCACAATCCACTATTTTACGCACAACTGGTCTGGCAAGCTGCCTGAGCATTTTAAATTCCCTTAAGTACTTCACTTACCTGGAAATTAGGTTGAAATACACAGCAGTCAACAGTATTATAATGTCCCCTAAGCATAGTTATCAGTTCTCCTGAGTAAACTGTATAAACAGCAATGGTGCTACCATATGGTACAAAGACAAATTCTGGACTGCAGCCATGAGAGATGGTAAATTTCAATCCTTTTCTACTTTCATTACAGACTTTACCATAGTTTACCTGCAAGAGTCAAGACCACAGAAAATTAGTCATTACCTGCTTCTAAATGATATATTTCAAAATGTGAACATTTAATAGTTTTCATAGCTACTCCTCGAAAAAATATTCTTCTACTTAGAATATCCTTTCCCATAATGATCAGTTTTATCAATTCAAATTCAGTTTCCCTCATGTGACCCTTGCTTTTTTTAGAGAATAATCAATATCATTTTATAATCTTACTAAGAAAACCAATGTCATTAAGACAAATTGACATTAAATATTACGATATATAAATAAAACCAATTCTCAATTATTCAAGAAATATTCAGACTACTTAGTTCTCTTCTGTATGGCCTCGTGATATGTTAACACCTCCACTAGACAGTTAAAGTGATTACGGTCTTCAGGAGGTTTTCTGGGACAAAGGTTGAACCCCATGGATATAAATTGGGGGATAATCTTTGGATTTATATTGTTCATATTTACTTTTCCCATGGTTATAACAACCTATCTTTAGCTGGCCAGTGTGTAGGGAGAAGTGAGGGAGTAACATAAACACTAAGGCACAAAGGAATATTTTGAAAATTTGGAGGGATACCACTGGTATACTTGTTCCTTACCCACCACTTAGAATACAATGTGACAAAACATGCTATGGAACTTGTGGCCTGACATAAATCCATAAGAGTTTTTGGCCTGATTCTTCCCTTTGAGTTCTGCAGGAATACTCTCCACAAAAGGACAGAAAGGAAGCCTTTTCTGCCCTGGCAGGTTCTCAGCTGCATGGCAGAGGCTCTGCCCTGCTGCCCCTCTGGTTATTCAGATTATGGGCTGATCACTTCCAGTGCAAGCTGGAAAAATGCCTGGAAGTGTCACTTAGAACACTGCCCAATTTCTAACACTTTCTAGAGAGTTATCCAGATATGAATGATCAGCTCTCTCCCAAATCTCCAAAGAACTATATGTTGGTAGTCAACTTCCAATCTTCGTTTGGGCCCTCTGAATCAGATCTATGATATCTTTGGTACGGTTTTGTCTCTGCTGATACAAATGACATCTCCTCTGCTTTCTTATCCCATTTAGTTCTCATTAATGTTTTTCTCATAAATACTCAATAGAACCTCATCCCAAAGTGCTAGACATTCTCATCCTATTATTTTTGTATCTTGGAAATATGAATACTCCATTTCAGATATCAATCTGTTTTCACCCATTCTTGCTATCTGATAATCTATCTTTTCCTAGTCATAAATATTATGGATGTCATTTATGTCAATTCTTGACTTGCAAGTCCAAAATGGAGAGATGTTAACACTCTACAAGTTGCTTATGCTCACTATACATCTCTCCATTGCCCTTTGAGTGATAAAATTTGCCATTAAAATTCTGCTAAAATCAGTGGTCCATGATTTATGGTCACAAGAATTGTCGTGTTAAAGGGACAGGCTTTGGTAGTGGTGAGTGATTTGGGTACTGTACTGTTTCTAAAATGTAATCCAGTTGATTTCTTCCTTTTCTCAGATTTTAGGTTTAGCTCATCATGCATCTGCAACACCTGTCTAACATAAAATAGTCTCCAGGGTATAGTGGTGGGGGGCGGGGGTGGGGGGTGGGGGGGAGGAAGCTAGGAAGTGGCAGAAGGTATTGAAAGTCAGTGTCAAAAGTATAGCCAGGTAGCTGTTCACAAGGAAGAGAACATCTATGAGAAATAGCAAGACCCAAAGCAAAGTTATGTACCTAAATATCTAATGATCTAGATAGATCTATATTGATGTCTATATACCAAATCCTAAGTCATGCTTTTTTACTGGGAATCAGTCTGTACAGTATCTGAATAAGAAACGGTGGTGGTGGTGGTGGTGTGGGGTGTGTGTGTGTGTGTGTGTGTTTGTGTGTGTGTGTGTGTAAAAGACCAGTAATTCAGTGAGGCTGCTCTAAATCCAGTGACATGCTTCAGAATATTCTGTTGAGATTATTCTCTTTCTCAAGCTCACTTTATTAATTAAAAATGGACAAGCCTCAGCTGGCAGACTGTAGTCTTGCCTCTGTCATTGTGCTGCATGACCCTGGACAAGTCACTTACCTTCTCTTTGCTTCAGTTTCTTCATTTGTTAAATGAAGGGGTTGGACAAAATGAGTTCTGAGGTTCTACTTCATACTAAAATTCACCCAGTTGCATTGTAGGCTCCTTGAGGACAGGAACAGTTTTATTTTTGTCTCTATATCACTAGTGTTTCACACAGTGACCTTCTGTAAGGCAGGTATTTAATAGATGTTTGGTGACTTAAAGTTCTAGAAATGTTCAAGAATGAAAATGATAAAATATTTCAATCTCAGGGTACACTATGCTAACTTTCAGGAGAATGATCTTTAAAAATAATGTAAATACAAAAGAACACTTACAGCACATTTATGGTATTTTGGGCTACTGTGTGACTGCAGTTAAGATAATGGCTCTTTTAAAATACAGATATATAAAAATTCACATATAGCACTGTGGTTTTACAACCAAAATAATATTAATTTCCCTGTTTCTTTTAGATGTCATTGTCTTAGGCTTACTGATTATAAAGATCTGTGTGTTAAGATACTACTTAGAAAAACAAAGGAGTCTTAAACAGGTGGAGGATACAAGTGCAGAACGTGGCATACCTCTGATCTTGCCACATCACCCACAAACGCGCCACCTCCATGTTCAAGAATTCTGAAATCCCCTTATCCAACCACAGTCTATTGGCTTTCCACATCTCCCACCCCTTATCTGACTCTTTATCCACACCACTACTTCAATTCTTTGACACTTCAGTTCTTTCCAAGGCCAACTCCCCTGCACTCTCCTTCCTATCTTGACCTTTTTATGAATCAATTCAACTGTATACTGTCCTCTTGAGTCCCTAGCCCCTTATCATATTATTGATTGTGCCCTGCCAAGCCTCAGCTTTGGATCATTCCTATCATCTACCACCTTTGCTCCTACACACATGCTGCTAAATGATGGTGGAAAAAGTCACTCAATCATTCTGACTGGGTCCACTAAAAATTTGTTACACAACCTCAACTGGGCCCTCACTGTTGCTATGCAATCCTTCTGCAACTCCCTTATCAACTCACTACCCCACTTTCCACAGTAGCTCTTCTGAACCTTTTCATCCCTCCTCAAATATCCCATGGTTCCCCTTCCCCCACCCTCTGAGCTGAGAACCCACATATACAGAAAAATTGACGCCATTCACCTCAAGCTTCCTCTTCTTCATCTCATATCACACATCAAAAATAGAACTCATTATCTTTCCCCCTGAACCCTTTGCTCCTCCTAACTTCCCTAACACTGCAGAGGGCAACATCATCCTCCCCAGTCCCCAAGGTTCACAGCTAGGAGTCATTTCTAGATTCCTCACTCTCTCTCATTCCTCATATCCAAGCTGTTGCCAATGCCTATCAGTTTCACCTTGGCAACACCTCTCTAACATGCCCCCTTCTGTCCTATGGCCACCACTATGGTATAGGCCCTTATCGCCTCATGCTGGGACTATTCCAATGGCCTGTTGGTGCATTTGCATACCTCATCTATTCCCTTTTTGATCCATCCTCCAATCAACCACCAAAGTGATTTTCCTAAAACACAGGTCCAAACAAGTCATCCCTTCTACTCTATCAACTCCAATGACTCTCTATGGCCCCTAGGGTCAAATACAAAATGCTCTGTTTGACATTCAAAGTCTTTCATAACCTAGCTCTCTACCTTTCCAATCTTCTTACACCTTCCTCCACCACATACTCTGTGATCTGGTGACACTGGCCTCCTGGCTGTTCCATGAACAAGACCCCTCAATCTCTTGGCTCCTGGCATTTTCTCTGGCTGTCCCTTTTTTCTAGAATGCTTTCCCTCTTCATCTCTGCTTCCTGGCTTCCTTTAAGTCCCAACTCAAATCCCATCTTCTCCAGGAAGCCTTTCCTAATTCCTCTTAATTCCAGTGCCATCCTTCTGTCAATTATTTCTTATTTATCCTTTATGTAGATTGTTAGTACATAGTTGTTTGCTTGTTTTCTCTTTAATTAGATTATGAGCTCCTTGAGGGCAGAGACTGTCTTTCACCTTTTTTTGTATCCCTAGTCCTTAGCACAGTGTCTAGCACATAATAGGTGCTCAATAAATGTTTACTGACTGATTGTCACATGCTGTCAGATATAGTTGATCTCTTAGGTCTGTTTTGCTGAAATGTTTGCCTTTGCCATAAGGGAGTGTTCAGTGTGGTGGGGAATGATAATGGTGAAAGACTATGATGTTTAAAAAAACAAACAAAAAACCAAAGGGCATACACTTTTAAAATGGAGAGGAATAGAGCAAACTGGAGAAAAGGAAGAGAGGAAAGATGGAAAGGGCAATGAGAAATTCAGAGGTACATAGGAAGATGTATGAAATAACAGTATAACTTTGATTTTGTCCTAGATGCTTAAGTGATTAAAGAATCAGTATTTAAAAAAAAAGAAATTGATGAGTTCATCCTTGAAGGACTTATCCAATATTAAGATAACTTAGTTACAAATACATATAGTTCCTCCTTGTGTCACAATGTGTTCCTGTAACCCATGCTATGTGTACTATAATCTCGAAATCATTTACTTACATGTTATATAAATTTATGCATTGTGCTCATTATTTTAAATGCTTTGATAAACATGTCATTTGCCTATGCTGCCTTTCTAAATGAGAAGAGCAAATCAAGTCCTCTCAGGGTCATAGTGCAAGGTAATAGAGACAGAATTAGAATTCAGTTTCTGAGTTTCTAATCTGTGGTTTAGCTGAGTCAGAGTCTCCTGAGAGAATATAAAGGGAATAATATGCTCTAACATAATCTAGACATAAATGACTTTGGCCTTTCTCGAGTAAAATCAATAGTAATAATGATTATTACAATGACATTAGAAGCATCTGGAAGGGAGTAGTTAGCCAGTACAGATGCTAAAACAAAGGGATAATAAGATTAATATTAACTCCTATAAAATGGCTTGGAAGATGTCTGAGTTAGCACCAATTACAGAACTTTATAAGACAATTTTGGAAGGTACTAAAATGTGCACAAGGATGACAGGATTTTTAGCCAAGAAAAAAAATAAAGCACTGCCATAGAAAGGTATTTCTAATTAGCTGCCATCCAGGAATCCATTTCTTTCTTTCTTTCTTTTTTTTTTTTTTTTTATCAAATTCATTCTGTAACCTTACAAACACATAAGGCATGATATGAATTTGCTAGGTATTAAATTTTTATTAAAAATAACTGCTTGGTTGTTTTGAGAATTTATTATCTGTCACCTGATGGTGCACTTATAATATGAAATGTTTATATTTAACTTTATTTTAGATAAGAGCAATAGCTGTGGTTCAATGAAAGGTTATATGGTTAAATTTAAATGACCTAAGTGTACACTGATGAGCTATTTTTAAATTGAACATCCTCAACTCCATTTCAAACTCCATCAGATATCTTACTAGTGTGTTTTCTCCATTGGAACTATTCCAGAGCCTCATTCGATCATCCGTTCCGGTAGTCAGAAGGTGAAGCCCATCTCTTGTAAAGCACAGGCCATTAACTCTTCCATTATGGGCTGTGTTTGCTACCATGAAAAATAAAAACAGTTCAGTTTTTAGTAGATTCAATCCTAGAAAAAACAGTCAATATATATTCAATTTTTAACATTATCTAGGCATATTAAAAGGCATTGCTGTCGATAACAATTTGAAGTGAATAAAAGCAACTATCAATAAACAATGCTTTAATTTTCATAAGGATGTGAACTAGAATAATGAAACACAAAAATGTTGAAGGAAAAATAGGGAAAATTAAGAGAGCAAAAAAGATGTTAAATCCAGTATGACTGGATTTGTTCAGAGAGTAAAGTTTACCAAATGCTTGGATATCAAGCTTCATTTCAGCTAGTAGTGAAAACCACTTAATTTTCTCTCCCTTCAATGTTTCCATCTCTAGCCATTTAATGAAAATCAGCCAATATTATTATACATAAAATGTGATGGAAAGAATAAATGTTATATCAAAGGAAGGACAGCTGTTCTAGTCTTAAAATTAACATGACTGCAAACATATGTCTTTGTCCTGAGATAGTACAGTTCCCTTAATAATGTGATTCTACTTCTCTCTTTGAAAACTTGTTTCTAAAGGTAGCATGCGATTTTACCATTTAATCAAATAATTAATTTCCAGGCAATTCTGAATCAAATTTCAAACTACAATAAAAATAAAACTATAAAAATGCAACTGATGTACTTTGTCACCTGGATTCCTGCTGATTCATATTCAGCATATCTTGCACTTTTTATGCTGACACAATGAATATGAAATCCTGCTATTTCTTTACTTTACAGTGGGCTTCCTAAGTGGCATTCTCTGTATTTGCATTTCTTAAGTACACTTACCTAAGACTATTATAATAGTGGCCAAAGGGAAAAAAATAGGACAAATTGGTTCAGAGATGTTTCTATAATTCAAAATTCAGAGGCAATTAGAAGTTGTCATATTGCTCATTCACCAAATGATTTAATTTAGCTTTGTACAACCTGATCTGGGATTTCTGATGGATGCCCTTTTCCCCTCCATCTATAAAATGTGAAATTTAACATACCAATATTTTTGCCATTTCAAGAAAGCTTCAAGATTAAAAAAAAAAAAATACCATGCTGTCTTATTTGTATATAAATACAGTATCTTCATTACCTGCTTCGGAAGATGCTTTTGACTTTTCCCCATTGTGCTGATCAAGAGTAATCAGGCATCCTGATGCTCTCCTAATATCCCACAATTTTACTTTACTGTCAGCACTGAGAGGAAAGAAGTATTACAATGATTTAGACCTAGGCCAGAGACTCTGCCCCTCCCCCTCCTCATCAGTCTTCACAGCAAGGATCATTACATTTGCACAAAAGTGTCTGTACATTTGGGTTGTTGTACCTTTGCCTGTCCAGCAGATGTTCAATATGCAACATTAGCATTAAAAATAGTGGGAAAAAAACTAAGAAAATAACCTTTCCTTTTTAATTTACAAGGACACAACTCAACATCTGCTGCTTTTACACAGTTATTTTTAATTACATGAGCATCTCATTCCCCCCCAAGGACTATACAGGCTTGTAGTTTGCTCCTTAGCAATTTTTTAACTACCTTTCTCCCACTACTTGTTATTCAAATGCTGTCTAGACTATGAAGCAGATAAAATTTTACTTTACTTAAGCATTCAAGCTATCATATATGTGGCTTTTTTTTTTCTTTAAAAAAGACAAGAGTAAGATTAGCAAAAGCTAACGTAATTTCACTTGACTTAGTATACCAAAATCACTCATCTCAAGGGCTTACAGGTGACAAATTTGATGATCTAGAAATTAAACACTTGTTTTTATTCTCTTTCAGGTCATTGAATATATGCCTAAAGAAGGAAGATAAGACTTTGTTAAGCCTGTCATCAGGCTGTGCATTCATTGATGATTCCAATTGATTATTTGAAGATGCTGGTATTGTATGGAATCAGAACACACTAGGACATATGCTGGATCCTTCCCCCACTGAGTTTGTGCCTTGTGTTTTAATAAGTGCAGGAAAACTTACAAGCCTGTTTGTGTGTCAGAAATGTAAAGAAGCCTGAATGATAATGTTTATTTGCCTATAACCAGGGTTCTTTGTACAATCCGGTAATAGTGGGATGAACAACAAATACTTTCTCCACTTCCAATTCAGTTTTGTTTCTGAACTGGGGTAGGTTTGGGGATCCCATTCTGCTCAAACATTGGTTTGGGCATGCCTGTATCTTGATTCTTTCCTCCCTGGAAGGGATATAAAGAAATGCCTGTGGCATCCAGAGAAGTGAATATCTCTAGGAAATCTTCAGGAATGATAGAGATCCAGGGTTGGATCAGAGTGAACCTCTCAGGCTCACTGCTATGTAGATCTATTACTAAAGCTATGACAGACAATAGTTTACAGGAGAAAGGGGACATTATATTTACCTAACTCCTTACATTCAGTGCAAGATTGTTGATTAAAGATGCACACTGATGCTTGACTGTAGTAGGTGGGCATGCCCATCAATTTAATTTCAAATCTTAGTATTTTGATTTTTCATATCTGAGGCAAATTTAGAAAAAATATAGTATAATCAATATTTTTGGAAGAATATTATTTGCAAAATAAGAATTCTTCTCCAGGTATAAGTTAGTAGTGTTTAACCACAAGGGTAAATAACATACCATTAAATTATTCTATTTTACCAAATTTAATGACAATAATGTAAAGCAAATCTCAAAATTTTCAAAGAAACCTACTATCAGTGTACATATCAAGAGGGCTGGTGACTATGAGCTGTGATCTAGGGATCTATCAAATGATAACTATAAAAATCAAGGCATTGTTTGGGCTAAAGAAGCTCCTGGAATTCTGACTTCCAATCGCATGGTGTTGATTTTTTCCCCCTGATATAAATTTTTTCTTTTAAGATTTAGCTGCCTTTGGCAACTAGAACACTAAAAACAATTCTAGGGGCTGTAATAGAAACTTGAGAATTTTCCATTAAAAGCAAGACTCCTTTCTTCTCTTTTCTCCTAGAACCATAGACAATCAGGGGAAAGGGACACGAACATATTGGCTTTGATATTCCCAACACTCTCTGGCTCAGGTTTGGGAAAAGTGAAAGACCTCTTCAGGATGGGTGGCTGAAGTGAACAATGGTGTGGAACTTACCTTCTTTCCCCTTTTCCCTTCCAACCCATTCTTCCTGGTGGTCCTACTGGTATGTGGCTCCCAACCCTCTAAATAAATCTACACAGATATAGATATATTCTTAGGGGTGAGATACTGTGTAAGTAACCATTTCTAGACTATGCTTGCAATTTTGGGCAAGGCAGCAATTTAAATGCAACCAAAAAACTGAATGTAGCTCTTTAAAGTACCTAACTAGAAACCAGGGAAGAATCTGGAAAGTAGAACACTTTTGTTACACTACAGAGAACATAGAGAAGTCTGGTATTAAATTTTTCATACAATTTATTAAGTGAAAAATAAAAATAAAATCTTCCTTTATCAATATATTACTTATTGTTATTACTTAGCAATCTAATTGAAACAATTATTTAAGACAATTCAGTACAATTTCAGGGCTTGACAAAGTAGGCTGGTTTGCAAATTCTGTGCAATTCGATCTCATATAAATTCACAAAATGAAATGATTTGAGAAGATGCTTATAAAGACACCCTGGTAAGACACAAAATGGAAATTTTTAGATAATTTCTAAACTGTAAAATTAGTTCTTTGAAATCTCTAAACTTGATCAATTATTTTCACTGATAACATATTTGATCACTTTTGACTTTTTTTTTTTAACTTCAAAAGGTTAAAAAATAAAATAAATAATGATGTAGTAGTGTGGTGACAGAATATTGTATATACAGAGTACTAGATCTGGAATGAGGGGCCTGGGTTTGAAACTTGGTTCTTACAGTTATGTAGACTGAAAAACTGTGTGACTATAGGAAAATCCTTTAACTTCTCTGAGATTCAGTTTTTTCATTTGTAAAACGGGGATAGTAGAACTTATACTGTCTGTTCCCCAGGATTATTACGAGCAAAGTACAAAGGAAAAATAGGAACACACTAAGTGCTATTTTATAAATGATAAAAATAGTTGACACTTATAGTCTATAGTACTTTAAGGGTTACAGAATACCTAAAAGATATTAACTCACTTGATTCTTACAACAACTCCACAAGGCAAGGAAAATAGGTGATATTACCCCCATTTTACAAATGATGAGAATGAGGCTTGCTGAGGGTAAGTGACTTGTACAAGGTCACTCAGCTAGTTAACAATATGAGTAGGATGTGAATCCAACTCTTCCTGAACCTAAGTTTAGTGCTCTAAACCAAAAATCAAATTCAAAACTACAACTATTCTTAATGCTAGCTAGAGATACATTTTACCTGTAATAAAGTAGTTACTCAAGAGTCTGGGATCAAGGATAATCTCCTATAGCTCCAATGGAACTGTTTCAGTTGTGAGTCGTTTCAGTCGTGTCTAACTCTTTGTGATCCCATTTGGGGTTTTCTTGGCAAAGATACTGGAGGGTTTTGACATTTCCTTCTCTAACTCATTTTACAGATGAGGAAACTGAGGCAAACAGGGTGAAATGACCTGCCCAGGGTCACACAGCTAGTAAGTGTCTGAAGCCAGATGTGAACTCAGGAAGATTTGAACTCCTGACTCCAGGCCTGGCCGTCTATCCACTGCACCACCCAGCTGCCCAAAACTGCCACAGATGACAAAAGTGGTCCCTGGGGGATAAGTGGCAGGAAAGCAGGGGATTGCTGGGCACCCACTACTTTTGTTTCTTTTGCATGTTTAAATACAGGAAAGATGAAGATCCAAGGACTATCTACTCTTCTCTGTGCCCTACCTATTGACTGAGAAAACAAAACAAAACACAACACAGAAATCCACTAGACTTCTCTAGTTCCCTTTAATTATTATTTGTTCAAGTTCCTATTTTTGGAGACTTTGTGTAATTTTCCTAAGTGGTAGCTTGACATGACAACACAAAACCTTGTAGTCCTTCAGATAATAAAGAATTTGGAGGACTTGGATGTTGAATTGGGGCTTTATTGTATTTAACAAAATTTAAATTTATGAGATTATTTAGAAGATTTGAGGCAGAATCAGGAAATTTCTAAAAATCCATTCTGGAAAGAGCCATATTATAATACCCCACACTTATCTAAACATATACACGCACAACCATCAGGAGAAAAGTCTCTCATTTCTGTTTTCTTACAAAATTGAAGTCACAACAGATAACTCTAGCAAGTGTAAAGTGATTCAGTGAATGACATTTGTTTTCTAGGGGACAAACATTACTGCACTAAATAAATAAAATTATGTATTTATGTAAAGATGACATTATTGGGTGTACGTGAACTATTTTGCCCATAGACTTAACAAACTGAGATTCATATACCTATACTTTCTTGCTTATCTCACTATGTGAAAAAGGGAAAGTTATAAGATGATTAGCTGGGTGAGCAATACTGTGGACCAAAGCTTATCTCAGTGTGACATGCTTATCACTAATCAACATACCTCTCTAGTCCATTTTCCAAAAACAGAATTATACCAAAAGAAGTCAAAACACTTTTTCTATATGAATGCAGTTCTTCCAAAATGCCAATTAGGAATTACTGTTCTAACTTATAAACAAAAATTAAAATACATTTTACCTTGCTGTTGCCAAGATATATTCATAACGTGGAGACCAGGAAACTGCTAATATTTCCTGTCTGTGGCCTACAAATATAACGACATAAAAAGCTTTGTGAGGTCTTTAAAAAATTAAGGGATACAAGAATAATTCTGCATGAGTCTAAGGGAAGAGTAAAAATCAAATTGTGAAGTAACTTAAACAGCTGGCATTTTTATTACATTAATAATTGAGATTTATATAAAAGTCCCAAGTAGGCACATAATAGAATATCTGACATTTATCATTCAATGATTGGTTTCGGTTTGGGAAGAATAACCAAAACAAGTGTTTTGGTTTTTTTTTTTTAAGGACAAAGTTGTCAGATTAGATCTAATTATTAATGCATATTAATCCTTTTTAAGATCACTTAATTTGCCACAGAAAACAAATATCCTCAAAATAAGTAAAGATCTTTTTTTCATATGTTCACAAAGTTAGGATCATAGATTTAAGGCTGGAAGGAACCTTAGAGATCAACTAGTCTGACCTCTTCATTTTACAGGTAAAGAAAGTAGGGCCCAGAGAAGTTAAATGACAAAGGTGGTAAGTGGCAGAAGTAGGGGAGAAAACATGATTTTTTATCATATACTTAATTTTAAAAATATATTGTATAGCTCAAGGGTAACCATCCTTTTTAAAAAAAACATTAAAATGCTTTTAAAATTTTAAAAAAAAATTTATTTTTTCCAATTACATGTAAAAACAATTTTTAACCATCATGGTTTGTTGTTGTTGTTTTCAAACAATTTTGAGTTCCAAATTCTCTCCCCAGCTCAATCACTGAGAAGTCAATCAATTTGATAAAGGTTATACATGTATAGCCAGGCAAAAAAGGGTAAACATCTTTGCAAAAATTTTTTTCTAGAAAGACTAGGAACTATATATTTCTAAAAATGATAGCAGAATATTTTAAAATCTGAAGTCAATACTGATTGCTTCTGGCACTGTTAATCAAATCACTTTTCCCCCTGAGTGAACTACTTTGGCACTTCATTTGTCTGTCTTGTATTAACAAATTCATGAAATTTGAAAAAAATGATGATATTCCAGCAAATTTTCCTGATGATGTTTTATTTTAATTAATTCAAAGAAATGTTAAATAAAGCATTGAAGCTTTGGGTAGGAAGGAAGGATGTCAGACTTGTATTTTACATATTTGAATAAAATCGAATATTTCCTTCCTTAAATTCCTTATTTCAATGGTTCAGAATTCGTTAATACAAATCTAAATAGCTAAAATTTAAAAAAATGGTATGTTCAGTTTTATTGTTATATTTTATCAGTCTAATAAAAGTTTTCATAATCTCATTATTTAAATACGCCTTTTAACATCTCAGAAGTATTTTCAGAAGGGAAGAAAGACGCTTCTGGATATTACAACAAAAGCTGACAATGTAGGCAGAATGTCAGGATAACAGTTCATTTTGTGTAATTTTGACAGACTCACTTACCATTCTCATTTTGGATTTAGATATTTCAATCAAACATAAACTGTCAAATGAAACTAGGCTGTGAGAGGTAGATCTTGTATTTTCCATGGACTCTGGCCCTTGGACATTTTCATGCCTCTTCTCAAATTCAGGAACACCAGAACAATGCACAGAAGGAGCTTTTCTCCCCCGTTTAGTTTTAACAGCTAGCACAAAATATATCAGTCATGTCACTGACAAAGAATACATTGTCAGTAATGTGTCTTTACACTGAACAGTTTACTCAAAGTAGTTATTGTCTAACATTTATGTTCCAAAATGAAACGTACCCTGTAGAATGTGGGAACAGGATCCAGACTTTAAGTCACAAAGTTGTACTTTGGGGCCTTTAGTACCAACTGCAACAATAAAAATAAAAATCCTTCAACACAACAGCTTTATCATGAAATAAAGAAGGAAAGAAAAACAGCAAGGAAGTTATAGTCATAAGTTGACAAATCACACTTTTCAAATTGGAATAAAGAAAATGTGGTTCAGTTCCAATAATTCATAGTAGAGTAGTTTAACTATATAAATGATATACCTTTATATATCAGTAAGATATTAACTCAGATTAAAAGAGAAAAGGCTTCCTTTTCATGCTAATTCATTTAAAACAAGACATAGTCTCTAAAGAAAAATAAAAATATTTTGCTAGAAGAAGGATTCTCAAATTACTTAAACTATCTGAATATAATGGGTTTTTCACATAGTTGATTTTGGTAGGGGAGGAGGAGGTTGGACGTGTGATTTAATTGGTACAGGGAACTCTCAGTGAGTCAAGTCTCCCCCGCCAGGGCAGATCAGCATCAGTTTTGCAATTCATAATCTTAGAGTTGATTAGGTCAAATTATTAGGATTTTCTGTTTCCTGAAGTGTTAGATCTAGCCCAGTTTGGAACAGAATTTGCAAAATACACAAATGACACAGTAATTAAACCTCTGAAAGAACTGGGGTGATAGTAAAATTCATTGTTTTTAAAATGAAATATTTAAATTACATGTTATATTCTTTTCATTTTGTCAATTAACAATTTATTTTCTCTTCTTCCCCTTTCCCCCACTAGTGAAAAAAAAAAGAAAAAATATTTCAACAAACTGATATAGTCAAACAAACCTATTTAACACAATGGTCATGTCTAGAAGTATTATGTCTCATTCTACATCTCCGTTAAAAGGTGGGTAAATGCTGTACAAATTTTTAAAACCAAACCAAACAAAAAACCCTATCATTTTTACTTGAGCTGAACTTACCTAAACATGCTGGATGTAAAAAAATAAATTTCTGATTTAGGAAAAATATATCAATTATAGTTACATACACACCTGCTATCAAACAGTGTTTGGTGGCAACTGGAGACATATGATGACTATAGACTGTTCCCTCAAAATGAAATACATCTGCAGGCTGATAATCAAAAGACAATATTTATGAAGTTTGAGTTCTGATTAAAATGATAATAAAAACATATTTCTTCCCTACTTATTTTAGAAACTATCTGATCATTTACAAATGAATAGACAATATACTTAGGTTTTTATGTTATCTTTAGTACAAATTCAAACAGATTTCCAATACTTTTTGGCTTCTCTTTTTCAATATGTAAAATAACTTTCTATAACAAAATACAATTTTGATGTCAAGAATTTCAGTACAAGTAATATATCTTTATGAAATTGTCTTGGGTACTTTCAGCTAAGAGGGCTAGCAGAGTGGAAGCACAAGCTCAGTTCCCACACACTTACCCCAGCAAACCTTAAAATATTTGAACCAGACTGAATAATGAATAAGAAATTCAGTGACAAGTTAGACTAAGTGACTTCATCTATGTCAGACTATATACAATGTCAGCCAGAAGCCTAAAGGCTTTGAGGTTCTGTCAGAAATGCCAGCACTACCATAAGCATATAAAACTGAAGCCCATGAGCTCACCAGAGATGAACCAGAGATTCTTATAGCATGAATAGCTCTGTATCCAGATTCATCAAGAGTGGAGGGTTTCCATAAGAAAGCCTCAGAATGGTGAGAAACTCACAGTGGACTCATTGGGTGCAGCAGTCACCAATTCAGGCTTAGCACTGCTCAGAATAGGACATCTGAGGCCATAAGACTCCAATGTTTGTAGTACTAGATCATGAAATGACATAAAAGGTGCTAAAGATTCATTACTCTGAATCTCAAAGTTTCAAGGGGTCCTAAAACCCAAGAGTGCTCTTAGTATAGACACAGTCCAAAGGTGGTCAGCAGAGGAGACAAGGTTTAGATTAAGCACAGCTGACTACCCTGCCTAAAATTGCAACAGGAGATGGAGAATCATCCTGGCACAAATCTCAAAATAAGAATTAGTGTAGCAAGTGTGAACAAGCTGAAGAGAATATATAGTACTTTAAAGAATAGGTCCAGATACACCTAAAAATCCAACCTAAAAGAGAGTTAAATAGACTTTCCCCAAGGACTATATGAATATCTAAATGGAAGCAACAGAAAGAAAAGAAAAAGAAAGCTCTGGAGGAAAGAATTAGAAGATGAATAAATAGTAAGTATCTTAGAGCAGAAAATGGTAAATCTTACCTAAACTAATAGACTTCTTGAAAATTAGAGTAGATCAATAAGAAATCAATGATTCCATGAGACAGCAAGAAACGTTGGAACAAAATCAAAAGATTGAAAGTTAGAAGCACGTATAAGATAACTTCTATCAAAAATAACTAGCAGAGAAAATACCTCCAGGAGAGAGAATTTAAGAATCATTGGACACTCTTAGAATTATAATTAAAAAAAAAAAAAAGCACAGGCACTGGATTTTAAGAAATTATAAATGAAAACTGCACAAATTTTTCAGAACCAGAAGGCAAAGTGAAACAGAAAAACCTCCAACTAATCACCTCTGGAAAGAAATCCCCAAAAGAAAAGTCCCAGGAATGACATAGCCAAAACCCTCAGTTTCCACATAAAAGAAAAAATACCACAAAGGGTGAGGAAGGAATTCAAATACCATTGAACTACAGATAGGATCACATAAGATCCAGAAGCAAAATATTATATATTATAAGATACAGGTTTGTCAAGAATAATTTACCCTGCACATCTGAGTATAATACTATTAGCGGAAAAATGGACTTTTAACAGAAGAGGACTTTGAAGCATTCTCAATAAAAAATAAAAGACCTGAGTAAAAACTGTGAAATACAAACAAAAGTGTCATAAGAAATATAAAAAGGTAAATTTATTTGAGTAATTGGATGGGGCTATACCATGATGAGGTGCTAAAAATTCTAAAAGGGGAAGAAGAAACCAGTGTGTTTCTCCACCTTAATGTCTTCAAAAGACACTGAGGGACTCAAGACAGAGGGAGTTCGGGTGTGCTGATTCTATTCTAACAGTTTTAAGAAGGGAAAGAAAAAGGAGAGTAAAAGGAATTAACTACTGTAGAGAGGAGAAAGTATGGAACCTATTGTTTGTGATAACAGGAGTAAGAAGAGTATACAAATCTGGAACAAGGGGTGGCAAGAGCAGTTATCAGATGAGTTTTACTCTTATATGAATCAAAAGAAAGTTGAACACAGTTAGTGCACATTCACACACACACACAATGATTGGTACAGAATAGGATATGTATAAAGAAGTGGAGAAGAGGGTGTAAGCAAAAAAAGGATACTTGAACTGATGCAGAGTAAAGTGAAGAGAAACAGAATATGTAATTATAAGAATACTGTAAAGAAAGATAACTAAAAGACTTAAGAAATCATTATAGCAATGACAAACAATGGCACCAGAGGGTCTGTGACAAATATGTTATCTACCTCCTGATAGAGAGGCAATGGACTCAAAATGCAGACATTTTCTTTTTTTTTCATGTGGCCATTGGGTGGACTTGTTTTGCACGACTATGCTTATTTGTTACAAGGGTTTGTTTTTTTTTTTAACGGAGGTAGGAGGGTTATGAAGGTTAACAATAGTGATGTACCCCTCAAGAAGAAAAAAGAGGGCCATTAAAACTTTTTTGAAAAAATGCATAGAAGAAAATAGAAGGAAGCACTAACAAGTACAACAATTTTGAAAGAAGGTAAATTTATTATATACTTTAAAAATAGTAAGCTGTATGGAATAGGTCCATGGTTTCATATACAATCCTCTTTTTAGGCTTGACTTCATATACAGAAATGCTCACTTTTTGGATTGGTGTTTAAATGCAAAATAAGCAAAATACTTTTTTTTTTTAAATCAAAGTACTGTAGAGTACTGTCCACAGAGCTCTTGGCCTAATGTTGAATAATATTATATTGCAAAATTTGAAGAAAACCTACAAAATGGATCATAAGGTCGTATAAAGTTATACTCTCCTTAAAATGTTAGTATAAAAACAGCTTTGGGGGAAGAACTTCTTTTCTGGGTAAGTTAGAGGCTTCAAGTATACAATTTTGAAGGACTTAGATACATTTACATATGTTAAAACTATAATAGACTATTAATGGAAATTAGGGATGATAGGGCACAAGCCTATCCTTGTGAGGTTCATGTCATGGAGAAAAATTATGAAATAACTTGGAAGTGGCACTTTCAGACAGGATGTTGAGCTGGCTGGGCCAGAATGTTATTTCTTGGGAAGGGAAAAAGGAAGTGAGGGGGAAGAGGAGGGAAGTTATACTGGCATAAAATTAAAGAGTTCCTTTAACTTTGGTACAGTGGATAGAGCGTTGGACTTCAAATTAGGAAGACCTAGGTTTAATTCCCACATCAGACTGTTACTAGATTGGCAAGTCACAACCTCTCTGGGCTTCAGTGTCCTTATCTGTAAAATTAAAAGGTTGGACTGAACAACTTTTAAAATCTTTTCCAACTCTAAACATATGATCCTATGACTCTTATTTATATGCTAACAGACCAAAATTGCTACAGACAAAGCCTAAACAAATGAGACATTAATTTCTGTTCTTAAAGCACTCTATATATATATGCTTTGCATTAATTTTCAATGACACATTTTAAACAAATACAAACGATTTAAAAGTAGAAAAAAGCAAATTTTCAAAATTATCTATCAAATACTTCATTATTTCTCATTGAAATTTAATTTAGCAAAGTAAATTGTGTGTATAGTCTTCAAAATTAGAGATAAAAGTTTTTTCTTACTATGTAAACAATGCTTTTTTTTTTTTTATTGAGTTCCTCTGTATTGAGTACATGCAGAGAAGTATTCAAAGTACTAGGAAAGAAGAAAATAAAAGTAGTGGATATATTTTCATTTCTTTTTCATGTTCCATTGTATATTTATTATATTTTTAACTTTTATTTATTTTTTTAATATATTTTCATTTCTCGATTGAAAAACAAGTTCTCTTTTGCAACCTTAGGGTGGCAGTCACTGCTTCTTTCACTAGAAACCTCATTTTATTCCTTATCAAAAACATGAACCTAGAAAATCAAAGCAAAATAATGATGCGCAATCCAAGGGTTATGTCTAATAAGCTATTAGTTAACATATTATTAGACATAAATATTTCAAGATAAAAATTATGAGAAAATATTGCTTCAAAAATTATTTGAAGAGTATGTTTCCTTATGCTATAGAAAATCTTCCTATAGGATTTTAGTATGATTTTATAGAATTTTTGTTTTTATAGAAATTCTTGAGCATTTTCCTCAGTCCTATAAAAAAAAATTTTGAGAAAATGGTCAGATTTGCCAAAAATTTAATTGTTGTCTAGCCCTCTAGACTCACCCACAAAAGATTACATTTATAGTCCATTAACAAAAAATAGCTCTTTAAATGGCAAGCAGTAGCAAATTGAAAAAACAAAACCATTTATTGATTCTTAATTTTAGTTCTTGTCACATTCCTAAATTCTACTTTTCTTGCTATTTAAGTCTATTCCAATATGGCCCAGGTCAAATTAATGACAATAATCAAGTATTATTTAATTTTGAGCTATAAAGTTGCTCATGTAAATACTGGGTTACCACAAGTTTTCCAAAAGTTCAAAATTTCAGTTAACAAAAGTCACGTTACTGTAACATTGACTAGTAATTTAGATTCATATTTTAATATTGATCAATATTATTTATTCTTCCAATGAGAAATTATTAACCTGCTTTGTGCCTAAAACGGTGCTAGGTGCTCTGAGAGATAAAAAGCATAGAACAGTCATTTAGTTAGAAAGACAGATTGTAGTAGTCATCTAACAAGGCAAATAATATATAAGTAGATGGTAAAGACAATAGAAAATCATAGAAAACAGAGACCATTGTGGATTAGAAAATTTCAGGAAGGAAAAAGGACCATCAATTAATGGTAGATGTTAGACAATGGAAGGGCATTCTAAGGCCTGAGGTAGCCATGTAAAGCCCATAATGGTTCTGCAATGTTTAGAGGGTAGTAGGAGATTAACCTAGTAGCAGATATTTCATACTTTGGAATATCAGGAAATAAAGTTGGATTGGAGTAGAGGGGAAGTTATACAGTCACCATTTAACTAGCTATATGAGGTTGGGTAGGTCACTTTATCTCTAAGAACTTCACAGCTGCATCAGCAATAAAATGGGAATAATAATATTTACACTAATTACTTCACAGGATCCAGGTGATCCTTCACAGGTAAGGATCAAATGAGATAATATGTAAGAAAGTCCTATGTAAACTATTTCAAGCATCTGTAATTTTGTTGCATCTCCACTGATGCAGAATCTGATGGTCTTGGGACAGCTAGATGGCACAGTAGATAGAGCACCAGCCCTGGATTCAGGAAGACCTGAGTTCAAACCTGGCCTCAGACACTTGACACTTACTAGCTGTGTGATCCTGAGCAAGTCACTTCACCCCACTGCCTCACAAAAAAAAAAAAAAAAAAAAGAAGCTGATGGTCAAAAAATTCATTACCCTGTAGCTAACCTGATGATGTAGCCCCACTGTATTTAGCCAGGCTCATCCTTGGATAATAAGCATATAATCCATCCCTGATTCTCTATTCAAAGCCTTCCAAGTTATGCTCTGCTGGTAGCTTTAGGGAGGGAGCCACCTCCATACCACAATGAGGTACTAGAGTACAACTTCAGTAAACTGTAACATGTTATAGAAATGTGAGCTATTATCAGTATCAATATGAACATTAAATGCCAGACTGAAAAATTCCTTTTCTAAGTAATGATAAAAAAAAAGGCAATTTTTCAACAAAAAAGTAACATGATAAAGTCAGGATTTTAGGAAGACTAATCTGGTGGTAGAGGGAACAGACTATGGGGGAGATAATAGAAACAGAGAAAGCAATTAGGAAACGATCTAGGTATGAGGAAATGAGGGCCTCATTTAGGATGATGGCAAGAGTAAGTAATGAGTAAGTAAGTAAGTAATGAAGTAATGAAGTAAGTAAGAGTAAGTAATGAAGAAGAGATGAATGAAACACATTTTTAAGGAAAGAATTTATAGATTTGGTGAATGACTAAGCTTTAAGGAATAAAAGACAAGGAAGAATTAAAGAAATCTGCAGAAAGAATTCCAACTTAAGGTAATTAAGAAAAGGACCATACATAGAAATAGGAAACTAGGGGAGTCAGAAGTCATGAGTTTTGGACATGTTAAGTTTGCTGTGATGACAGAACATCCTACAGGCAAAAGGAACTAAAGGCCTGCCAAACACAGACATGCATATGCATACACACACACACATACGTGTGTGCATGCATGTGTGCATCAATTTTACTGGTTATAGGAAACTTTTGGGTGAAGAATATCTACCAGTTCAGATCAGCACCTTCTTTGCAAATTACAGCATAATTTAGAGTTGCTTCTCTATAATTTAGAGTTGCCTAGAGCATTGAAAAGTCAAATGACTTGCCCTGGGATCATGCAGTTAGTATGTGTAAGAAGTGGGTCCTGGGCCAAAATCTTGCTTTATAGCCAGTTCTCTATGATGCCACATTGCCTTTCTTGACTGTTTTTAAAGAAGGTGAGATTTTTAGTCATAATAGTGATAGGTTTAAATGAATACATGTGTCTATACATAAATATTAGGACTAACATTTTTCTTTTAAAAACTGGCCAAAAACCCCCCACAAATTAATGAATAAATACATGAAAATAAAAACTGAGAATAAAGATGAATAAAGTAATTTATCCAAAAGATCATGTGAATTTTCACTGTCTTCCTTATGTCTAATAGACTATATCAGTTTTCAATGTTGTCACAACTGTCAATCTTACTGGTAATATCAGCAAATAGACCAAGGATTGAATTATCCTTCATCGTTTGAGTGATTTAAATCTACTCACCTGTAATGTGTTTGTGTCCCATATTTTCAGAGTTTTATCAAATGAGCTCGAGGTAAACATGCCAGTATCATGAGGATACCACTGCACTGTCTCTACACTGTATTTGTGAACATCAGGATGATTTCTACAAAGCAGGAATAGACAATATTAGGTTCCAAATGTCCCAAACAAAACCCTATTCTTCATCCTAAAGTCACCAATCTGGCTTTTGACTTCATCACTCAGCTGTACCTGCTCACTTCAAAGTTACCAATGATCTCTTTTTAAGTAAGTTTTTATTGATTTCTTTTCTTTTTTTTTTTAACATCACCACAATTTCCCACAATATCACCCCCCTCCACCTTCCAAGGAACCATCTCATATAACAAACAGCATTTTTTAAGGACAATAAAAAAAACATCAGCATCAATGATCAACACATCTAAAAAGTCTAAAAATAGGTACAATGTTCAATTCTTGTGACTCTCCTACCTCTGCAGAGGGCTAAGGGAGAAGTGTCTCCTCACATGCTTTTTTTTTTTTTATCTTTATAATTTTGCAACGTAAACTTCTGATATTTTGCATGCAATTTTTCTTTCCTTTTACATTGTTGTATATTGTTATATTGTCTTCTTGGCTCTGCTTACTCACTGCCCATCAGTTCATGTAAATCTTTCCAAACTTCTCTGTATTCACCACAGTCATCATTTCTTAGAGCACAGAAATATTACATTATACTCAAGGATCACAATTTGTTCAGTATCACAACATTCCCCAAATGATGGGCGTATAATTTGTTTCCTATTCTTTGCAATCACAAAAAAGTGCTGCTATAAATATTTTGGTGTATATGGTGACTTTCTTCTTACCAATGATTGCTTTGGGGTATAATCACAGTAATGGAATGTCTGGGTCAAAGGGTGTGGGTATTTGAGTCACTTTATTTGCATAATTCCAACTTGCTCTTCAAAATGGTTGTACTGATTTACAGTTCTACCAACAATGCACCAAGGTACCTATCTTCCCACAACCCCTTCTACACTGAATACTCTCATCTATTTCATCTTTGCCGATTTACAAGGTGTAACGTGAAACCTCAGAGCTCTTTTGATTTGCATCTCTTATTAATGATTTGGAACTTCTTTATGTTGTTGTTTTTAGTTTGCAATTCTTCTTTTGAGAAGTATTTGTTCATATCCTTTGGTCACTTATCTATTAAGGGTTGTTTTTTGGCTTTATACGTGCATGTGTTAATTGTTTACATATCTTGAATATCTACATATCAGAGAAATTTGGTACAATGATTATTTTTCATTTGACTGATTTTCTTTTTAGCCTAGGTACATTAATTCTGTCTATGCAAAAGCTTTTCAGTTTCATGGAATCAAAGTTATCTATTTTATCTTCTGTTAATGCCTTCATCCCTTGTTTGGTTCAGAATATATTTCATACCCAAAGCTGTGAAAGGTATATAATTTGGTTCTTTTTAAATTTTTTTATAGTATGTTGTTTAAAATTAAGGTCATGTAACCATTTAGAATGTATTGTGCAGGCCTGCATAACCTGCGGCCCGCCAAAGAATTTTGGGTGGCTTGTAAGATTGTATAGATCTGGTATTGTGGAATGTGGTGTAAGCACTAAGCCTAGTGCTTTCCAGTTTTCCCAGTAGTTTTAATCAAATAAAGAGTTCTTTCCTAAGTAATTTGTTTTTTGGTTTATTGAGTTTTATTATTTCTAATTCTCCCCTAAGTCTGTTTCACATTCTACCTCTCTATTTTTTAACCATTACCAGCAGCTTTTGATGATTGCTACTTTATAATATAGTCTGAGGTCTGGAAGTGATATTCCTCCTTTGCCCCTACCCCTTTTCATAATTTCCCTGGATATTCTGGATCTTCTGCTGTTTCCAAATGAATCGCTATTTTATCAATTTTTATAAAATATTATTTTGATAATTTGATCTGTATAGCATTAAAAATATAAATTAACTTTGGTAGTAGTATAATTTTTATTATATTGGCACAGTCCAGCCATGAATATTGAATATTCTTAAATTTTTAAAGTTGCTCTTTATTTCTCTAGGAGCACACTGCAATTGAATCTATATAAGACTTTTTTGTGCTTTGGTTGATTGATCCCTAGACATTTTACACATTTTGTTGTTATCTGAAATGGAATTTCCCTTTCTATTACTGCCTCTTGGTTTTGCTATTATACAGAAATGCAGTTGATTTTTGAGGATTTATTTTGGAGTCTACAACTTTGCTAAAGTTATTATCTCAGTATTTCTGCAGATTTCCCAGAATTTCCCAAGTAAACTATCATATCATCATCAAATAGGGATGGTTTTTCTCTTCTCTTTAGTTATTTTTATACCTTTACTATCCTTCTCTTATCTTACTGTTGTTGCTAACATTTGTAGAACTATATCAAATAACAGTGGGGAAAGTGGGCATCCTTGCTTTACTCCTATAACCAACGATCTTTGAATTGACAAATCTGATGGTCTTTTATCACTCCTAATCCTCCTCAACCTAACTCTCCTTCTAGACACTCCATCCTCTCTGGGTTTTCATAACACTACTGTCTCTTGGTTTGCCTACCACCTGTCTGACTGCTCCTCAGCCGACCTTGTTGGATCATCCTCCACATCATGTCCCTTAACTCGAGGTTTTCTGGATGGTTCTGTCCTCTTGGGTCTTCTCTTATTCCTCTGTAGTCTCTTTCTTGGCAACGCCATCAGCTTCCATGAGTTTAACTATCAAATCTATACAAATGACTCCCCGATATTTATATCTAGCCCTACTCTCTTTCTTGAAGCTCAGTCTCTTAGTACCAACTGACTACTGGGCAATTTAAAATGGAAGTCCCAGAGACATCTTAGACATAGCAGGTCCAAAGACAAAGTCATTCTTGTCCTCCCTCTTCTAAACTTTCCTGTTTGTGTAGAAGATACTAATGTTATTCTAGTCTCAGACTCCTGATCTCAAAATTATCCTGGACTCCTGTTTTCCCCTCCCCACACACCCAATTGGCTGCCAAATCTTGTCTATTGCATCTAACCCTTTCTCTCTACTTACATGGCTAACATCTCAGTAAGGTCTTTGTTACTGTAACAGTCTCCTAAAACCTCCACTCAAATGCCAACTTATACTCCCAAGATAGAGGGCTGATCTTGATACTCTTCTGCTTAAAATTCTTCATAGCTTCCTAAAGCATCTAAGATGAAATGCCATCTCTTCAGTCTAGCATTTAAAGTACTCTACAATCTGGCTCTCTCCTACCTTTGGAGAATTATAATATTCCCCTTCATGCATTGCATGATCTAATCAAAATGGTTTACTAGCTATTCCTCAAATGCAGAGCCAATACCTGAGATAAATTTTCCCCTCACCCTCTTAGGTTCAGCTCCAGTGTCACCTCCCACTCTAAGCCTTTCCTGATTCCCTACACTTCCCTCCCCAGTTATTCCTGCTTTCTCTCTCCTGAAATGATCTTATATTTACTTTTCTGTGCACATGTTGTTTCCTGGAGGAGACTATAAGCCCCTTGAGGACAAGGTTTCATTTCTGTCTGTGTATCCCTAGAGCACAGTATAGTGCCTTACATCTGCTAAGTACTTAACAAATGTTTTGGACTTCATTTTGGTCTGCAGTTGTGGTTTAGTGTAGAGAACTAGTGAGGAAACCGCCTTCTACCAATTAAGATCATCAATTGTTTTGCAACTTATAGCCTAAGAGAATTACCCGGTGCACTCAAAGCCAATATGTGTCAGAGGCCAGACTCAAACCCAGATCTTCCTGACTGAAGTTCGCTCCCAATTCACTATGTGACTCTGCTTACAATTGTTTACTAAATTCAATTCTATAAGTATCAGAGTAGAATTTTAGTGTAGAATAATACATATTAGACAAACAATGAATTAACAATAATTTCTTTTCCTTCTTATAATTTAGATGATCTTTTGGGAGATGATTTAGATACTTCAGGATTTTTAGGAAACACTGTCCCAGGAAATATGAACTAATGCTTCTATAAATTTCCCTAGTAATTGGAGGCAGGGCGGTGACTTTAGAACAGCCTCATAGGCTAACTCAGCATTTTTTCTTTTACTTTTCTTGCTTCTTCACCTCTGCTTAGGATATGATAAAACATAGGTGACCAGAATAAAAAGCACAAGGTCTCAAAGCTTCACACTCCAGCAAGACAGAAACAAAACAGTGGACTTAGAATTAGAAGCCAGGTACAGATACTGGGTCCACCAATCAAGAGCTATATGATCTTGGGCTATTGACAAATTCATTAGTCTTCAAGTTTCTCAACTGCACACTAAGGATAGTAACACTTATACTACTTACTTTACAGGGATATTATAGAAATCAAAAAAGACAAAGTGAAGCATTTTGCAACCTTTAAGTCCTATATAAGTGTAAGTAATTAAATCACAAAATAATTATCACATCCTCACAGTCTTAAAGACATTCTCAAAGAACTGCAAAAACATGGACAAGACATTGTATCCTGTCTAACTGGCTTGCTCACTGTGACATTAACTAAAACTATTTAATCAACAGATAAAACAAGGAATTGAGGTATGGGTGTTAATTAGGTAGTTTTTAATGAGTGCAGCAGTGAAAAATGCCTGATTATTTATCTAGTCATCAAAACATTTTCCTGAAAATGTCATCAGGTTTAACTCTAGATTATTTTTTCAATTAGGTGAAGAAATCATAAGGTCTCTAGAGAAGATGACTCAAACACTGTAATGAGTTAAATATACTTCAGTTCAATGAACATTTACTGAGTACCAACTATCTACAAAGTATGTCCTATTCAGAGAAGAAAGTGGAGGTAGGAAGACTTTTTAGGAGGCTGCCATCAAAAGGTCCTTATAGGTGGTAACGAGGGGTTGAAACAAGCATGGGAATAGAGAGATGATAGATTTGAGAAGTATTTAGAAAGTAGGTTTAAAAGAATTTGTCAAATATTGGATATGAGAGGTAAGAAAGACACAGAAATAATGTACTATTATAAATGCAGTATCCCTAATGAGCACTATATAGTAAGAATAAAAACTCATATGAGAAGCAGGATGGTATAATGGTTAGATTACTAGACTGTGTGTTGGTAAAACCTAAACTCAAA